GTATGGGAGGAGTTCGGGGTAACTATGGAGAAGGACTTTCGGTCGGCACCAAAGTGTTTCTGGAAGACCATCCGGCACCTCAGGAGGGGGAAACGGGGAACCATCCAAGCTGTGTACAGTAAGGATGGGACCCTGTTGACCGCGACTGAGGAGGTTATCGGGCGGTGGAAGGAACACTTTGAGGAACTCCTGAACCCAAGTACTACGCCCTCTTTGGTAGAGGTGGAGCTGGAGGCGGAGGAGGGATCATCGTCAATTGGCCTGGTGGAGGTCACTGAGGTAGTCAAACAACACCACAGTGGCAAAGCCCCGGGGATTGATGAGATCCGTCCAGAGATGCTAAAAGCAATGGGTGCTGGGGGGTTGTCTTGGATGACACGCCTCTTCAACATTGCGTGGAAGTCTGGGACAGTGCCAAAAGAGTGGCAGACCGGGGTGGTGGTACCCCTCTTCAAAAAGGGGGACCAGAGAGTGTGTGCCAATTACAGGGGTATCACACTACTCAGCCTCCCGGGTAAAGTCTATTCTAAGGTGCTGGAAAGGAGGATTCGGCCGATAGTCGAACCAAGGATTGAAGAGGAACAATGCGGTTTTCGTCCTGGTCGTGGAACAACGGACCAGCTCTTCACTCTTTCCAGGATCATAGAGGGGGCTTGGGAGTATGCTCATCCAGTCTACATGTGTTTTGTGGATTTAGAGAAGGCGTATGACCGGGTCCCCCGAGAGAAACTGTGGGAGGTGCTGTGGGAGTACGGGGTGAGGGGGTCCTTGCTTGGGGCCATCCAATCCTTGTACGCCCAAAGCGAGAGCTGTGTTCGGGTGCTCGGCAGTAAGTCAAAGGCGTTTCCGGTGGGGGTTGGCCTTCGCCAGGGCTGCGCCTTGTCACCAATCTTGTTTGTGGTTTTCATGGACAGGATATCGAGGCGTAGTCGGGGGGAGGAGGGTCTACAGTTCGGGGGGCTGCGGATCTCATCGCTGCTTTTTGCAGATGATGTGGTCCTGATGACATCTTCCGTTTGTGACCTCCAACTCTCACTGGAGCATTTCGCAGTCGAGTGTGAAGCGGTCGGGATGAGGATTTAGCACCTCTAAATCTGCGGTATTGCACTCGCTTTACCGCACCGTTGTGACGAAAAGAGAGCTGAGCCGGAAGGCAAAACTCTCTATCTACCGGTCAATCTTCATTCCTACCCTCACCTATGGTCATGAAAGGATGGGTCATGACCGAAAGAACTAGGTCACGGGTACAAAGCGGCCGAAATGGGTTTCCTCAGGAGAGTGGCTGGCGTCTCCCTTAGGGATAGGGTGAGAAGCTCAGCCATTCGCGAGGAGCTCGGAGTAGAGCCGCTGCTCCTTTGCGTTGAAAGGAGCCAGTTGAGGTGGTTTGGGCATCTGGTGAGGATGCATCCTGGGCGCCTCCCTAGGGAGGTGTTCCAGGCACGGCCAGCTGGGAAGAGGCCCCGGGGAAGACCCAGGACTAGGTGGAGGGATTATATCTCTGCACTGGCCTGGGAACGCCTTGGGATCCCCCAGTCAGAGCTGGTAGATGTGGCCCGGGAAAGGGAAGTTTGGGGTCCCCTGCTGGAGCTGTTGCCCCCGCGACCCGACCCCGGATAAGCGGTTGAAAATGGATGGATGGATGGATGGTAAGGAAGGTACCTTACCTTAAGTGAAACACTTCCCTACTTGGCTTCTTTAGTGTAGGATCCACTGGACCATCCTTAACGAAAGGCAGGAAGAGAATTCTGTCCACAGTTCCTTGCGATGGCAATTTTTAAATATTGATGTATCATTTGGCCTTTACGAGAATTAACAATCATGACAGAAACGTAGAAATATCATGTGACTAACCGTTAGCATAACTCAGTTACACTGCGGATTAGCGAAGTGGAGTCGGATTCCCTGAACGCCGCGGTTGTCTTTTCCTAACATGAATTCTCCTAATCTTTCTTGACCCCATAACGTTTTCCACAGAGGTCAAGGAATAGTGGTTAGGAATATACATTAGTATGTACATTCTTGACGATTCGAATCCAGTCAGCAGTGGCGATGCACAGGGCAATAAAGTCTATGATAAATAAATAAACAAACCAACGACTTCCACACACAAAGACGTGACTCTCTAGGTCGTCTTCAAAAAAACGTTACTCCAGCTGTTGTGCTGGGGTGAATTGCTCTGCAACACATGCAAGACTTTTAGAACCATGAACTGAAACGAGTGTGTCGACGCAGCGGTGCGTAAAGACACAGACGCATGTGCCAGCCTTAAAGCATGCGCTTACTCATACAGTGCAAACCCAGTGGCGTGATTAGGAATAGCAGCTACTTTTATAGAAATGCAATTACTGTCTTTCTGTAATTCTTATTCTAACAAAGGAGGGCCGAGCTGGACGGGGTGGATCCGGCCCGCAGGCCGTATGTTTGACACCCGTGGTTTAAGGCCTGCTGTCGTCATTAACGAGCAGCAGGCGTTGAGAGTCCTGGTCAACAGTGCTGCTGACTTCTCTGGCCCAGCACAAGACTTTACGGTTAATTAATGATGCTGTGAAAATGAAAGTTAGAAAGGGAGATTAGGCTTTTAAAGAAAATTCAGATAGATTTTTCATTTCCAGTGATTACCATACATTAATCTAATACGACAGAGAATATGAAAATACAGTTCTGTTTTTCACAGAGAAATAACTACTAACAAATTACTTACAAACAGGTTCAGTTTAATAGTCTGTTTTATGGTACCACCTTGTGGTAGCAATGGAAGATGTATCTTTGTCATCGACAGGTTTTATCAGCAGAACTTAGTTGATAAGCACTTGATATGTTATTCATGACATTGTAAGATTGTTGATGATGAAATGTAAGCAGCATCTTTTTAAATTTCTACTGTCAAGTCAAACAGTTAAAGATGTAAAGTATAACTTGACCCTTCAAGCAGCTGGAAAAATGATATAAACATTAAAACATTTCACTGAATCTTTCTGTAAGTTTCTATAAACTGTGTCCTTCTTTGTCCGTGCTGTATATCTCCAATGTATCCAATTACAGCTGTTGCTCTTGAAAAGCATTATTCAAAGCCACTGGAGTTGGTGTTCAACAGAGTTTTATGTATGTGAACTAAACAAAAAGCCTTTAAAACTTCTATAATGTAATTTTGTTGGCATTAAAAAAAAACATTCCTGTTCAATATGTCACTCAACTTAAGCATCATATACAGCTTTCAAAAAGTGTTGCAACAGGCACATAGTTTCTATGCAGGACACTATGAGTGTGTTCCATTAAAATGCTGAGTCTTTACTGCGCGGCCTGAGTCTTATATCCTAAATATAAGCATTTCATTCCCATTTCAAATATTTCAAATATTTATTGTACACAAAATAACACTGTTGAACTGGTATGGTTAAATCATGAACATTGTGTCCAAGCATTATGTCCATGGCGACATGTTATAATTGTAAAATTAGAAGAAATAAAAGTAGATATTTAAAGATGACTATTTACATCAATGAATAAATTAATCTGCCGCTTAGATTTTGGAAAATTAACTTGTGTACAAGGACATTTGAACCTGTGGGTAGCAGGAGAGGTCACACACTGCAAGTCAACAGAATATAAACCTGAACTACAACATGGGTGGCTTCCTGAAGAGCGCATAGCTGTGATCAAGTGACTGCACAGACCTCAGCTTTTATCAAGTGGATCACTTCTCAGCAGTGAGGATGTAGACAGACGTTCCATCAAGTCGGTCACAGTGGGACATTTAATCAACTTGATTCATTATTTTCAAGCCTACTTTGCTATGGAGGAGAAATCTGCACACCTGGATCGGAGCAGTTGCTGGGGCTGCTTTATGAATATGTGTAGGGGACGCTATCAAGCCAAAATGCTCTTTGGAAGCATTGACATCATATGAAGTAACTACATCTGTTGAGTTGGGTTACTCGCATTCTTGCAGCTAACGTTGCATTCGGAGGAAAAGAGCGGACGATTCAGATGAGCCATCTTTAGCCGTCTTCGGCATGTTTATTTCAGGAGCTGCCGCTGACACATCAGTCTCACGGTCAGACAGCCTTCATTACTTCTTATAAAAAACGGCAAAACATTTGGGACAAACAAAACAGCAATGCAAATGAGTGCCCCCTTGTGGCTCATGCACAACACAGATCAGCACTGTACTACACCATCACCACAACTGAGGACATAATGAACATATCCCAACAACATCTTTAACTGTGAAGATGGCATTGAGCCAATAGTGATTCCCTAAAACTTACATGAGAATTGGATCCAGCGTCTGGGAGGAATTCGCAAAAAATTCCTGGGAGGAATTTTACAAAATTCAAAATGGCGGAAAATCTAGTTAGGTGCATTTGTATACCATGATTGACTTTTTTGTAGTTAATTGGTGAAACTAGGCAAAAATCTCCTCAGAGGGAGCACTTCCAGGGAGCGTTAGAGAGACATTTTTTCATACCCATATGCACAACTCCCAAAAATATATAGATATAAATTTTTTGCACTTAAGGCGCACATGATGCGCATGCCAAAATTCAAGAGTTTTGGAAACACAATAGGACTTTGCCTGACTTTCAGTCGGCTTAGGCCCTGATTAAACTACCCCTCATCGACGGGCAAAATAACACCTAAAGTGGGCTGGTACATTTGCTCTGCTGCACAAGCCTCACAGTAGGATATATTGACTTCACAACAAGGCGAAGACATTTCTGATGTCTGTGAGTTGACAGAAATGATAAGGGAGGCATTCTTCTGGTACAAAGGTGCTCTGAATCCTACACTATTCAGTAGCCTTCTGATGATTGGACAGTGGTGTATTATTGGAGCTTTTGTGTGGATGCTGTATTGTTTTGCTGGGTGGTCTCTTGGTTGTCAGCGGCAGGCCCGGGGTAACTATGGGGGGCATGAATGGTTTGTGTATGTGTGTGTGCTGACATGGACCTTCCATGATGACGTTCTGTCAGATGACTGGTGTGGCAGGGAGAACCGAGAAAGAGAGCAGAAGAGAAACATAAACCATAGAGCGGCAGGATTAAATGAGAACATATTGAACAGTAAAAGAGAAATTGAAAACAAAAAGACAAGGTGAGTTTGTGTTGACAAGGACAGCTAAAGAGACGGTTTGACCAAATGAAATGGAATCAAAGAGACTGAGACAAACTTGGGATTATCAGTAACGGATCATCAGAAGTGGAGTTTCTCAAGCATGGACTAGCTTGGGTGTCTGCGTACACACACATACTCTTTCTACGAACACACACTGTGGTTTCCTGTTGTTAGCCGTCTCGGTGGTGGACAGGACAGTATGCAGGAGTCTCCAGGTGCCGTGGGTGTAGATGGCAGCTACGCCAGCAACGTTCCAGCCTTTCTCACCAAGCTGTGGACCCTAGTGGAGGATCCAGATACCAACCTCCTCATCTGCTGGAGCACTGTGAGTCCGTCTGCACACCACATCACATCATAGTTACTCTGTGAGGAATTTCATTTCTGTTCACAAACCATCTCCTCTTAATCATCCATTTTATGATATTCCCATTTGAATATAGCAATAAAATATAATGTAAATCAACATAAGTCACAAAAGGCGTGACTCAGCGGCTGCTTAGTGGTCTCATGCTGCCTTCTAGACAAATATGAGTTTTCTCAGAGGAAATTTCCATCTTCCAAACTTTAACTCTTCCAGGTGCACAGCGGCAAACAAAACAAAAAGCATGGCCGACTGTGACGAACGAATGTTTCTTTGTCAAGCATACACATAATTGAGCTCTAAGCAGTGTAGCCCCCTTTGCATTATTAATGTTTTCCCATAGAACTTTTGTGCAGAGAAGATATATTTCTGTTGTTCTCTACGGTAACCAGCTACCCAACAATATTGCAGCATATTTAAATTATCTACTAGCATGCAAAAAAGTTTTTGCTATGTAATATTGTCATTAAATGCAGGCAAATTAACTTTACGGCATATTGTTTACTTCCAAATGTATATAAAGTGAAGTAACTATAGAAATCTGACTCATGTCATTGTCACAGATGCATTCAATTGTACTGTTATTGTGGAGCTAGGTGAGTTACTTTATGTTCAGTAGTATAGTCCCAAACAATTATTTTAAATAAAACCATTTTAGAAACTTTGATGGTACATCACTGTTTATATACCATGAAGGTGCTTTGTTAGGTTTTCTCCTTTCAGTTAAGTGAGGAGTTTCTTTCAGTAGTTTGTGTTCTTTGATGTTAAAAGTGCATTGTGATTATCTCACTTTTGAATTTTACCATAAAAAAAGCACATTTGACCTTCAACCCACAGATGAGCATTCAATGGTTCAATCGTTATTCAATGCTTTTAAAACTATACAATTTCTATAGTTAGATTTAACAACGTTAAACTACTAGATGAACCCCAAGTGGGTTTGTTGTACATGGAGTGAGTTTTGCAGGATTGATGTGTGTACTTCACTGAACAGGAAGAGGACAGCTTCTCTTTTCTTCTTGCTAGGGACTCAAACATGCAGAAGGAAGCTCTCCAGTCCCATGACATGCGTAGCTAGACTGTGCATCATCAGCAGCTGCATTGTCAGTCTATTAGAAGGGAAATGACAATTTATATATGGTAACAGCTAGGTCTTAGAAAATGTTTAAACTTCTTGAATTTCTCAATGGTTTGGCTTTTCCTCAATGTAAAGTGTTTTTAACGTTGTAGCTTTTTTTTTTTACATTATAGCAATTCTACAGTTGCATAGAAAGATTGCAATGTTGCGAGAGACCATGACTAATCACACAAAGTGGGAGAGATTGTGTGTTTGATTGGCTGACTAAGCTGATCTAATGAATATAATATATAATTACTTCATGCAGAAAAACATAAAATTAAAAAGTTCAACATGTCTGTATATCCAGATGCCTAAATATCTGTATGCTCATTTGTATGGATTTTATGAGTGTTGAGCCTGATTAGCCTGATTTTCTAAACCAGTATTTATGATAACCCAATGCATCATTTACTGAGAGGTTTTGGCATCTAAGTTACACTTTTTGTCACACTAAGCAACTGCTAGCAGTAACCAGATAAGTGAAGTAATTTGCTTATTGTGAAGTAAAAACAATGATCAGAATGAAAATAGTAAAAAATATTTGACCAGGCTCTGTCATGTCTGTTTTGACCATGGATTGAGCTTTCCTGACCTTTCTCTATTTCAGTCTGGGACCAGTTTTCATGTGTTTGACCAGGGACGCTTTGCCAAGGAAGTCCTTCCAAAGTACTTTAAACACAACAATATGGCCAGCTTTGTTCGACAGCTCAACATGTGTGAGTAACCTACACGTCTCTCCTTGTCTTGTCTGTTCTAATTTAAGGCAGGTACTGATACTCTGTGTGTTGCCTTTAAAATGTGTGTGTGCAGATGGATTCCGTAAGGTGGTCAACATTGAGCAAAGCGGCCTGGTGAAGCCCGAGAGAGACGACACAGAGTTTCAACATCTTTACTTCCTCCAGGGACACGAACACATGTTGGAACACATCAAGAGGAAGGTATGGACACACCTACAGTAAAATAAGATACTAATACAAGAAATACATTATCTAATAGAAGTCAAATATTGGACAGAAAACATAAAAGCGTACGAAGTTATGAGATATTTGCCATTGACCCTGTGTAGTCACACCTCACTGTCAAAAGCTATTAGTTGTCACTCCCTTGCGGCAAGCCGCACGGTTCTGATTTAGTGGTGATGTATGCAAGTGAAATGAAGTCTCTGGAGAGAGAGAGATTGTGGTTTTTAATTTCCTGTATTTCTTAAGTCACAGCTTATTCTTGGAGAAGCTAATGAGAGCACTAAAGACATTTAGCCTCTGCTTGTACAAACTGGACTGTATTTCGTTGAAATGTTTACATTTTGTAGATTGTCATCTTAATAACATAGGAAGACTTTATTTTCGACATAAGACACATAGATGTTTGGCAAAGGCAGGTAGAATGGGAAATATTATTGATGTCGAGATGGTAGCTTGTCTAAGCTGACGACCCAAGTTTTTCAATAACACACACACACACACACACACGCAGTACCGTGAGCTAAATGCTGTGCCAACATGATAACATGCTCACATTGATAACCTGCAGATGCTAGGAGTGTAGCTAATGTTTACAGTTTGCCATATTAGTTGTGCTTGCTAACATTAGTTTATTTGCAATAAACAGAAATGATGCCTGACGTTGAAGGGAAACATTAGTTTTAGTTTTTTTAAAATGTTGCTCCAATGATGAAAACGTAGATGAAAAGGTAGGGAATCACCAAGGTTACTACAATTTGTCGCAAAGGGGTTATAAATGTACCAAAATCCTTACAGTCTGTCCTCTACCATTCAATGGCATTGCACTCGAAACCACCATTTTTAAACTTATGGTGGAGAAGTCATGGGTTTCTTCACCTGGGGACAACAGATGTCTGAAAAAAACGCTGTTAACCCACCCAATAGTTTTGGACTATTGGATGGACCAACTGGAGTCACGCTGCTGCATTCACTTTCTCAGTTGCTCACTGCAGGTGCTGCATCTGAGCAACTTAACAAATCAGGCTGTGCTTTGAGTTCAGGTGTCCATAGTAAAAAGCGAGGAGACCAAAGTCCGTCAGGAGGACCTCAGTAAACTGCTCTATGAAGTCCAGCTTCTCCGAACACAACAAGACAACATGGAGTGTCAGATGCAGGACATGAAACAGTGAGTATAAAGATTTTGGGGCTGTGCCATAACCCACAAGACATTTCCATTGCAATGAAGGCAACTGTCCCAGGGCCAAAAATGTCATGTGAAATTTGTATTTCGCTTTGTGTATTGATTAAATAACTGCTATTTTGTTTGGATATTTGGAAAGTTAGCATGTTGTACCAAGTTTTAAGGTGATGATTCAGGTTAATATTCTATTTAAATTTCAAGTTCACAGGTCAGGCTAATGTGACACAGAGATGTCTATGTCAGAGGGAAATGGGGGAAGAGCAGTTGACCGGTTTCTTATTCCTTTTGCTAAATTGGAACAAATCATCCAGTAGATGAACTGACTTTTTCTCTAGAGGCTATTGTGTCTATTGTGAGGTAGAGCTGCTTTGTGATGGTTATTGTTTGCTAACGTGAGGAGAGAATGTTCAGCTGACCAGCGCACATCAATAAAGACATTCTTAGAAAGGATGAGCACATCAACGGCCAGGGATCTGGTTTGGAGAACGCTCTCTCAAAATATTACACCACAGACATCAGTATTTAGTGCCCGCACTAAACTTATTCTCAATTTTCTAAAAAAGAGCGTATTGAGCGGCTTGACTCTGAAAGTTCAGTCACTTTGCGTTACATTGAGAGGGATGGACTGCACGTCCAAAAACACATTGACCTGCCCCTCCCAATGTCCCAGCATGGGACTGTCAATTCTCTTGAGAAGCCAACTGGGTGACCAGGGGGCGCAATACGCAGCTGAGTGATGTGGTACCAACACACAGTAAAGAAAAGACAGAGATACACAGTACTGTGGAGGATTGCATGTAGCATGTCATTTATTTCTGATTTGGACCAGAATAAAGGTTAACATAAAGTTTGTGTGACCATGCTTTGCACTTTTTTTTAAGAGACCAGCAATGCTGATTCACACTTCAACACACACGCATATCACGCACAGCGTTCTACATGAATTCCATACATCTATCAAAAACAAGCACCTCAAAAACAAAAAAGGGGCCAGAGTCAAGCCGCAGACAGTGAGTGTTTGAGCAATCAAAGTGGAGAAATCAGCCACAGCACATTGTGGCCCTTCTTTAAAGTTATCTTGATGAGTCATTATATTGTAGTTTGGAGGGTCAAGCATGTGGTCTTCACAGTGTCATGATTGTTGGACTATATTATCGCGGAAAAACTCAAGATAATGCTTTTCCGCTTGCGGATAGTGTTCTGTACTCATGTGTGTTCCCTTTGTATGCAGTAAACAATGCATCAATAACTCTTTTCTGGGTCAAAACACAGCAATTTACATTACATTTTGATTTCATTAATCTAAACACACCTGAATCTCTTACCAAATGGTTTGAGGAGTTAGGTAATGTACATAGGTGCCGTGTTTATGCCATCAAAAATAGAATGGAGTATGTGAAATTGAGCCAACCACATCTCTTGCTCTGCATCAGTTTTGAGATGTCTAGAAAGGTCCATCTTGGGCCTAACAGTTTTTTTAAGTGTACAACGCTAAATCAATTCAGTGATCTTCTTGGTTTCCAGTGCAGGTTCTGCAGCGACATCTATATTTATTTATTTACATAAACTCAAGGCCAGTATTTTTAAGAGCAAACTATTTGGAGCATTAAACTGTTTTTGGTTGGAGGGGCGTATCCATTGTATAGACCCTTATTCCTGGTTTAGTGTTGATCAGTTGAGTTAACAAACAACTTTGGGTTTGCTTCATATGTTTCACCAAGTAATAATAAAAAAAAAGATAAACCGGATTTTGTTTATCTTGTTTCTCCCTCCTCTTCCTCCCCCATCCTCTTCCTCCTCGGGTCTGCAGGCAGAATGAAGTGCTGTGGAGAGAGGTGGTCTCACTGAGACAGAACCACACACAGCAACAGAAAGTCATGAACAAGGTCAGTCTAAATGCGTGTGTGTCTCTGTGTGTGTGTGTGCCCTGAGGGGAATACTCTCACATTAACAACAACTCTTACACTTACACTCATTATTGTGGTACAGCTACTCTGCAATTAGAGGAATAAGACACACTTAAGTTACTTTTCAGGAAAACTATTGTGTAAGATAGAATCCAAAATGTGTGATGTGTGAATGTCATATTACATGTTTGGACATGATGAAAGAGGGTAAGTGACAAGCAGGAATTAATGTGTTAATGTGTGTGTGTGTGTGTGTGTGTGTGTGTGTGTGTGTGTGTGTGTGTTTATGTGAGGATGCTGATTCATGCTGTGCTTTTTCTCTCATTGCCAGCTGATTCAGTTTCTGTTCAGCCAGATGCAGTCCAACACACCCAGCACTGTAGGCTTAAAGAGAAAGCTGTGAGTACACGCACGCGTGAGCACGTGCACGCACACAAACACGCACATACACAGTGGAGAAATCAACAAAAGTGAGACAAACAGGGCCTGTGCTGCATAGGGAAGGGCTGGCTCAGCTGACAAACTGGACAATCTAACTCAACAAGTGCTGTGAATGGTAACAATTGCTGAATCAGTCAGACACACACACACACACACACACACACACACACACACGCATGCACACACACACACACAGGCTGTAGGGTGCATGACCCTGCTACAGCCTGTGTGTGTAAAGCGCTGGATCAGCGTTGCTGCTGAGTGTGAACAAGGCCGGCATGAGAAGTGAAAGGCACGCTGAAAAACAAAAGTGCTTTAGAAACGTGTATTTCAGGGTCAGAGTGTTGGCCAACAAAAGTAACAATTTTGCCCCGTGCTTTAATCTACACATCTACACATGAACTATCTAAAAAAAACAATAAATAAACTTGTAGTTGGTCGAGACCAACGGAAAAATATGATACCTCAGCTCAAATGAACCGCATTAACAGGGACAACTGAGGGAGTTCCTCGAGTTCACTCTGACAGAACCAACTCAGGGAAACTCTCAGAGAGTCTACAACCACGTTAGTGACTGTGGGAGGCTTCAGCGGCTAAAACCACATGCTTATGTTGATGTTGAGAAAGTATAATGTTTGCCATGATCCCCCTCTTTGTTTTATAAATCGTGTTATCTTAAGAATACCTGTGTAATGTTTTTGGCCAATCGTGTGTGGTGTGCTTCCGTAAACCGGTGGCCAATTCGGTCACACTTTTGTTTACATGTTCACATTGATAACGTAGCAGATAATAAATGACATCGACAAGTTAAAGGGAACTCATTAACGCTCTGGCGTTGTTGTCAGGGCTTATCAATACTCCAGTAATGTAGCACTGGCACCCTACTGTCAGATAACACATAATGCAAAGCCAGTGTCCGCTGTAGAAACATGGCAGTTCAAGACGGCTGACTCCGTGGAAGAAAACCTCTCCAAGACTACAAATGGCTGTGATTCTTAGTTTTAGGTGATAGAACACTGTTTAAAAATAGTTAAGAATATTGTATACAATTGCTGCCAATTAATCCCCTTAAGCGTAAAACACAGTTCCTTTAACTAAATACAACATGGCTGACATTTCACTACTTTCACTTGAAGTGTAATATTACCACAAGAGTTGATGGCCTTTCTTAAATGTTTTGATATTGACATTCAGCATTAGTAATTATGAATAAGAGTAAAGTGAGGCTGTGATATGCACTAAACAAAATCTAACATGTGTACCATTTCAGCTACTTTATCAGATCCAACGTATTTACCCAATAAATCTTTCTTTGCAACAGCTTTCTGTCCATTGGTTGGAACTCTAATGATGATGCCCTAATCTCACAGAGTGTATGAGTCAGATTCGTAACTGATTGAAACAAATGTTCCCTCCAGCCCTTGATGTTGGACGATGGTTCTCCCGGAGCTCCGGGCTCCAAGTTCAGCCATAGTCACCCGATGGAGCCCATGCATGAGCCTTTCTACATCCAGTCGGTGAGAAAATATGAAAGCTATGCACCTTATTATTCTACTACATTCTTAGTAGTGCATTAAGTCCAGTAAACAACCATATTTTTTTTTTGTTGTTAAATTATCTTTTTTCTTAAATTCATTAGAATAAAAAATAAATCTCCCAATGAATTATTAGTGCACTGCCATCTTTTTTAACTGTAAAAGGAAGCCACTGTGCTGCACAACACCCTACAAATGGTTCTGGGAGGCTCATGCAGGAAACATCCACTTAAGTAGAAGTGGATGCCTTTCTAAGCGCTTGGCCATGTTGGGATTATGTATCTATTGGTTACTAGACACAATTCCTAATAAGGAAGGCATCCTTTAGCAGGTCAAGCCGCAGAAAAATATTATTCAGACATTATCCTTCTTTAACCTCCTGCCATCAGTGTAGCTCTTACGTTACCTTCCCACTAGAGGGAAGCAGTGCGCATTGACAGTTTCGGAGGGGTAGAAAGAGTTGTGTATATATATTAGAACCCGGATTAGTGATTATTTTTGTTGCAGAGAAAAATGAAACATAGGAAACATATTGCCCCACAGAAAGGGAAAGAGCAGTAACCATACAGTGGCTCTTCTCTATGTCATTGATTTTGCTTCAGCTGTAGTTCTTTCTCAGAGTGCAGTAAGTGTTGATGGAGGGTTTTATAGCCCAGATGTTACCGGCTACAGCAAAATGATTGCTTCCTGGACCGCTTTACAATACCAGGATGCAGCTACTGCGGTTTACCTCGGTACATAACTTCATTTTGTAGTTACGGCCCGTTCTGGTGTCATGGAATTACATTTCTGTGCCGTATTGTTTTCATATGGTTCAAACCCATGTTTATTGATTCTGGCTCTTGTCGACCAGCTATGTGCGTAAGTGTTTCGCAGTGCAGTAGAGGTCTGTAAATCTGTAATGTCACTTTACAAACAACGTAGAAATTCTAAATGAACAACACCGTGGGCCAAAGACGGAGAGAGCGCAAAAAATAGTTTGGAAAAGGAAAACCAGCAGACATTTCCTCTTCTTGCTCCGCAGCCATCCAGTGATACTGCCTCTTGCTCTACCAGTGGGCTGACAGGAGGACCGATAATATCCGATGTAACTGACATGTCTCAGCCCAGTATGGCCCTCCAGATGCAGCCTGATGAGACGAGGTGAGCGAGGAAATGTAGCATCCCTATTTCCCATTATAACCTGTACAAATACAGAACCCGGCATAAAACCCTTATGGGAAATATGTTGTGTAAAACAGCATTATCAATATGTGCTGATAGAGCATTTTACTGCGGCAACAGGGAAAAGTGCATGATGCTTATCAAAGAGGAGCCTGTGAGTCCAGGGGTGCGAGGAGGAAGGAAAGGAGACAATGCAGGGGGAGAAGATGCCGTAGCGTTGCCGTCCTCCTGTGAGGTGTGCTCCTCGGAACCTCCTGTGCTCCCCGTCGCGATGGTCCAGTCTGTTCTGGAGGGAAGGGGTTCCCTGGCCTCTATGGTGGAGAGGAGAAGTAAGAGACCTGCCCTGGACAGGTGAGCTCACACCGGATTCCATTAAGACATGTGTATGCAAGGTGTTGAGGTGTTGAGAAGCGATGCCCAATCGACCTTGTGTGTCTGTGTTTGTTTGTGCGCTCAGAGTGGAGGTTTCCGATGCGGTGGAGAACGTGGACATGAGCCTGGAGGAGCTGCAGCAGCTGCTGCTCAGGAGCCATCAGCAGAGCACTGTGGACGCTGGGACCAGTTCTGCTCTGGATGTCAGTAGACCTGCGCTAATCACAAACAAACGTACAACTTGTTTAACTGCACATACATTCCGTCATGTCTAAAGTGGTATCCGTCTCTGCCTCTCAAAGACCACAATGGCCTTGATTCCTTAACATACTGATCTACTAAACATCTGCTCACTCCTGTTTCTCTTTCACTCACTTTCTCTCTGCAGCCTTTCAGTTTAAGTCTTCCTCTGACTGAGTGGAACTTCACAGAGATTGAGTCCAACCTGAAATCAGTAAGCCATATAGTGTGGAAATTGTATGGACAGACCTTTGAGATTGTTTTCTACTCCAGAGTGAAAGGACTTTCTCCCTTTAACCATTTTATTGCAGCTTCACTACTTAACTGCTTTGTTCTCTCACCAAAGGCTCTGCATAATTATTCCTTACTTATTACACAACTCATTTTGACTCTCCTGTTTGTCTGCCGTGAGGTTTTCACAAAAGCCTCTTTTAGTAGTCTATCCGTACTCTATCAATGTGAAACTTTATATGTGTACTGTCCACAAACTGGCCTATCACATGGATGTGGTTTGGACCTATAGGGCTGTTTTCTTTTTAAAACTTTTTTTAATGAAATATTGCTGTATTTTCTCGCCAATACATACTTAATGTATTATTATGTGTTATGCGAATAAGGAGTTACGGGTATTAAATATGTACATGTTCACAGTACATGTTCCAGAACCAGGAAGCGGAGGCTTTTCCAGCGGCTGGCTGTGAGGAGCAGTGATCCATCTGCGCTGTGGACGGTTTTCAAAAAGGAAGGTAATGATTCTGTGATGATTCAATTTTTTAGCGAAGTGGACCGTTTTGCAACACTCTGATAATACAATTTACTAAGCTCAGTGCCAGGCAAGGTGAAAAACAGAAGGGTTCTCGTGTCACCTTGATTGACACTTGAGACCAAATCAGTGCGTTAAAGCAAAGTTTAAACATGAACAAATACTTTTCTTGAAAAAGGAAATACAACAATTTCCCCAAAACAGCAAGGCATTGTTGTTTGTTCCCCAAATGTGAGTGAAAAAAACATTTTTGGGGACTTTTTTATGGTAAATGGCCTGTACTTGTATAGCGCTTTTCTAGTCTTCTGACCACTCAAAGCGCCATTCATACACTGATGACAGCAGAACCATACACAGTGACACCTGCCATCAGTAACCACCATTCACACACTGTAGTCGCAGCTACAGGAGCAATGTTGGGTTAAGTGTCTTGCCCAAGGACACAACGACATGCGGGTTAGCCGGGCCTGGGATTGAACCGACAACCCTCTGGAGGACGACCGTGCTCCCCACTCACCCACAGTCACCCCTTTATCTGTGGATTAATACATATTTGGTACAGAAATGACTTTTTCCACCATTAGAAAAGTGTTCGTGGGATTGAATAATTAAAAATGCTATTTGTTGATGTTAAGAAAAATGTAGGTTCTTCTTTAAAACAGGATTACCAAATAGCACACATTTATAAGTATAAGTATAATCAATACTCACATGGCATATATATGCTGAGTGATAGTCCGGCAAAAATAACCATTCCCTCCATATATTTTGTCCCTTAGTGTAAAACTAACTAACAAAATCCAACACAGTTGAAGATAAAACTTCAAAACAAATCAGTGTGGTATCTTTCAAGTTGAATCTTTTTACTGAGAAATCCCCCCCTTGTGTTTTTCTGGACAGGGTTCCTTGTAGAACCACAAATGAATAAATTCTGGAAGTGACATGTAGATATTTTATCCAGGACAAAGGCCCCCACAAGCCACATATCAGAACTACCCGACCCAGTTGAATAAGGGAGAGCCGTCACTGATGGTCCAATGCTGTTTGATGGTGTTGTGTGGTTATTAATTATTCACAGCGAGTTAGTGACCCCTGGTGCTGAAAACTGAAGCCCATGTGGAAGAACCAAACTGGCAGGTCCCCAATAGTCAACATGTTTACAACCTAGTTAATGAAAACAGTTTCTACATTTGATGTCCCGTTAATGACACCTGTACAGGGAGTTCGCAGTCCTGTAGAACTCATACGTTTCAATTGTACAAAAAGGCTTGAAGTTTTGGACTCTCCATGCAGCTTTATCTGTCACAACTCTTTTTAGCCCCTTCATTCACTTTCTGGTTACCTAGTTCTATTTTTTAGCTTATTTGACTGATACATTAAAATACGTGAGATTTAATCACAACATATCTGGGAGACATTTAGACGTAGGGATTTGCTTTTGCTAGGAACTTGGGCTGTAGATTTTCAGTATTTAGAGGATGAATGAATACAGCAACAAGTAACTGTACATGAAACGGCATTAGAGTGTAGACGGACCTGAAAACTGTTTTTAAAACAAAATTTAAATGCTGAAGGTGCTGTGCGTGCCCGTCGACCGATTCTGCTTTTCCTCCTCAGGCCACAGAAGCGGATGTTCTCCTCATTATTCCGCTCTGCATGGATTTGATCCCACGGCTCTGCCAGGCTGCTTCTTACATGTGGTATTCTTTGCTCCCCTCCTTCTTTCTTTATTTCCATTAACACACCTACAAAATGGCCAAATCAATATATTTCCATCAGCCAGCAGCTCTTTATGCATGATTCTTGAACGAGAAAAGAACTTCTTTAAAGTTTTCTGACGTCACCCAAACAAACAAGCGTGTTCTGACAGTTATACCTGAATTCCACTATTAAGCCACCTGGATGCAGACAGTGCATTCTTGGCTGCGGCACTTTAGTCTTTGTGCGAGAGGGAGTTCTTGCTTGTGGAAGTGACTTTTTTTTCCTCTACTGTATAAACATCTATATTTATCTATTAAGCAAGTAACAAATAATATTTTTAATATTTAATCCTTATTATTTTTTTAAATTTGTATTTAAGAGAATGGTTGAAAAGTCACTCTGAAAATAAATCTTGGAGTGCAATGTAGCATACTGTATATTATAAGTCCTTTTTTCAGTCGGCTTAAGGGTGTTGAAAATGTAAGGACTCATCCAATATTTCATGCATTTCTAATCATGATAAATGTGTTGAGGTGGATGAGAGGGGATTCAGCCTTTCATGATATCAAAGCTTCTTGTCCGAAAATCTGTATTCAAGCCACTAAAATCTGTCTCTCTTTTAATAATATCATGATAGGAGGTTTAACACACTGACGCGCCCATCTAATGTATCTTTGCACAGGCCCGACATGTAACTAGAGACTTGGTTACTTCTCTTCTGTCCATTTAAATGGGAAGTTTAAGGAAATATTTAAAAAGAGACTTCTCATTTAACTAAACCATGAACACAACTGCATTTTTGCACAATCTGTATCACTAGTTATATATAGTCATGACAACAGGTCAGTTATTTTGTGTCTGTAGACGATCAACACTTTGTCAATCTACACATCCCTGTCTAGGAAAGATACTGGCCTCAAGATTTGTGGGCAAATTTTAGTCTTGGAGACATAAAATGTACCACAGTTTATATTTGGAAACAAACGGCACCCTTGGAGTTGAGACTTAAGCGTGCATAGGACAAAAAAAACCTGTTAGTAAGTCATGACACTGACTTTTCATTATATGGTGGGGTGGTTATTTCAGAATTTAATCTGTTATAGAACAACAAAGATCTGCTTAAAAGACTGCATATTATTCTCTGCATTATTTAAGAAAACCAATAACCATTCAATGTGAAATGTGTGTTCTCTGCACTGGTTGCAGGCAACAGTTTAAAGGTAAATTGATCGTAAATATTGGAAATATCCTGGAGATGAGTTGAATCGTGCAATACTGTACAAAAATGTGAGAACTCACAAAGTTGCAATACATGAATGACCATAGGAATGTAGGAAACAGCTACAGCAGCTTGGAGTGGTGGACTAGAACACACGGATGATGTTAGCCTGTGAGATTAAAAGCCCTGCTAGCACTTTACATGAGTCAGACAAAGCTTCAACCTGTAGTTTCAGACATCGTTAACGCCTCCATTCAACTGTGAATCTAGCTTTAAGCTTTAACACTTTTTTGCACAGATTTACCTGTGCAATTAGGCGCCTTTGTTAATCTAAAAGCAAAAAGAATTCAACTATGTTGACCCTCAACTTTTTTGTCAGAGCTGATGCTAGCAAGGTTAAAAATTAGCTGTTGCATTAGCTTTTTGAAAAAGTTCTTAAAATCCATGTATTACAACCACTACTCATAAGAATGACTCCAATTACTGAAAGTTAAAAAATAAATTCCTCTGACGGACGTGAAGATGGTTCATGTTTTGGAAAATGCGGTAAGGAAGCTCATGAATGTGTTCCTCTTGTGTCGATTTACCTCGACATTCCATTCCATTCGCAAAATTAAAAAGCTAATGCAAACTGCTCCCTGCAGGTTAACATTGTTTTTGTTGCAAAGCCTCCTTCTCAGTGCAGTCTTTAGGGAGAACGGTGGAAAAACAGGCTGTGGTGTATTGTAAGTGAAATTGCACTATATCACAGTTGTATGCTTCTTGAGAGTATACAGTACATTTTACATATAGCATTTTTATTGTTCTTCATGGAAAAATGAGTGTTATTGATTTTTTTCAAGGAGTGATGAATCCTGACATTTAGTTGCTGTTGTGTTCCTAATTTATTCTGTTTTCAATTCTCACTGGCTTTTAAGCTTGTCGGGATTGCAGATAGATAAGGAAGTATTATTGTTGACTGAGTGAAAATATATCTGCTCTCACTAAGCCTGGTATCCCAAAAGCACTGGTTCAAATCCAACCATACTTCAGCATATTGATACATTTACAATGAATACAAAACAGACGAAAAAACCCTTTCTTGTTAACAAAGTATGCTAGCTGTCCATACGGACACAGGGAATCTGAGCGCTTAGATGCCTTTAAAGTGGGCCTCAACCTGCAGAAAATGTGAATTGTTTTTGATGTTTTTTTGCAAAGACTAAAGAGTTTTGTTATTGAGTCAAAGAAAGTGAACATGTATTCCACCTGTAAGAAATATTCAAGTTGTTAAAAGAAATAAAAGCAAAAGAATGCAAACTAATACCATTTTGATTCCTTTCTTTGAATGTGTGCAATTGAATTGTTGTCTATTTACTGAATGTATATCTGCATGCAATTGACCGTTATCTAAACCTTCTTATCAGTTCTTATCTATATAGCTAATCTCTGCCGTAACAGTTTTATCTGGGCGCAGCAGGGCGGTCAAGCTTTGCATTTGGATACTTTTACGCTGTGATCTATTTCAGTCTTTTTGACAAGCTATTTGTCATACATGTTGGTGAAGTTTGTGTTTGTGTCCCGTCTTACGTCTGATTTGGATACTTCCTGTTTTATTGTGGCGTCTAAACCCCCTCTCGTTTCAGGTTTCTTGCCCTTCCTCAGGTGTCTCCTGTCGATTGTCTCCCCTGATTCCTAATTGTCTCCATCTGTTCCCTCACCTCCCTCATGTATACTTATTGTCTGCGTCTCCCTTTGTCCTGTGCCAGTGTGTCTTGTAGTCGTGCATGTCCACACCCGCGTTCGTGTTAGTTTGTGAAAGGATCTTTGCATATGGTATTATTAGATATAGGAATAATTGGATGATTGTACAACTGGATTAATGGAATAAATCTCTAGCAGTCAAACCTCTCTGCGTTCTAGATAAATCCATCAAATGCATATTGGAGATGCTTTGTCTGTTTCTCTCTGAAATTGCTTTTCCTTTACTTAAGAATTAGATAATATTCATACAGTTTGAGACAGTGTGGACGCTGCTTAGCAACCGGTCAATTGATGTCCTTCAAAAATCTTTATTCCCAAAGCTGCCATGTTAACAAAACGTTACTCCAGTATGTACATTTTCTATAACGAAACAATGTTAGAATAGGTTTACATTTTGTACTATAGAAAATTACATATCACACTCACACCTGGTGTATTTTTAGAACAAAAAATAAAATAAAATAAAAATAGCAATGCAGATTTTACGAAATCTGCATTGCTATCTTACCAAAAAGTCAGGTTTGAGGGTAAGATGAATGCAGCAATGTACGGAGACATCCTCGATGAAAACATGTTCCAAAGCGCTCTGGACCTCAGACTGGGGCGACGGTTCATCTTCCAACAGGACAACGACACGAAGCACACAGCCAAGATAACAAAGGAGTGGCTTCGGGACAACTCTGTGAATGTCCTTGAGTGGCCCAGCCAGACCCCTGACTTGAACCCGATTGAACATCTCTGGAGAGATTTGAAAATGGCTGTGCACCGACGCTCCCCATCCAACCTGATGGAACTTGAGAGGTTCTGCAAAGAAGAATGGCAGAAACTGCCCAGAAATAAGTGTGCCACGCTTGTGGAATCATATCTCCAATCCTCCAATCAGAGGGTTTCCACCAATCAGAGGGTTGTCGGTTCCATCCCAGGCCCGGCTAACCCGCATGTCGTTGTGTCCTTGGGCAAGACACTTAACCCAACATTGCTCCTGTAGCTGCGACTACAGTGTGTGAATGGTAGTTACTGATGGCAGGTGTCACTGTGTATGGTTCTCTGTAGAATGTTGAGCGCTGTGAATACTTTCCGGATGCACTGTATATGTATATACACAAACCATATGAGCTTGCAACTTAAAAAAAAAGGGGTTGCAATCAATCGCTGCTCGTGCTACTTAATGTTTTTAATGAATCAACTGATCATGAGGTTAGTCCCATTAGCTGTTGTAATGATTTCTGCCGTTGATATTTGTTTTTTGTTTGTTTTGCCTATTATTAATCCTAAATTACCGTATCCCATTCAAGTGTGCTGATTGACAGGGCAAAACATCTTTGTTTCTTTCATGAGTCCTAATATTTTAAACTGAACATGTTGGTTGTGTCTTTGTAAGGGATCAGGACTGAGACTCAGACGACAAAATACTTCTTTTCAGGTTCAGGATCTTTACTGCCAAAAGATCAACTTTACAAAAAAAAAACAGGTGGACTGAACACCCTTGGTGAGGGAGAAAGAAAAAAAAAAACAGGAAGACCAAAAACAAACACTAGGAATACTGGTGGCTTGAAACATACAATCTCATGGTAAGACGATGGATAACCTGACATGGATGACTGGGTGACTGGGGCTTAAATACAGGTGGGGTGATGGTGGACTGAACTCAGCTGTGGGGGGGAAAGGGAGGGAAAGTAAACAAAGACAGGAATAAAGGAGATGAAAGAATGAAATAGGAAGTTATTACATTACATGTCATTTAGCTGGCGCTTTTGTCCAAAGCGACTTACATTACATTTTTAACCCATGGCTGTTTTTTACATTTTGCCCAGGGAGAAAATAGGGGTTAGGTGTCTTGCTCATGGACACTTCAACATGGGGCAGTCGGGGCTCGAACCACCAACCTTGGATTTGGAGAAATCGTATGTAAAAGGTCTTTTAAAGGCTTTTATACCTCTTATGTAACCCACATTTCTTGCATTGATGTGTTAAGATTGATGACATATTGCTGATAATGAGTGCTCCATAGACTTACGCATAATCTCTGTTTTTCTTTTTCAATGTTGATGTTTCCTCGAGGGATCAAGCTATTTTATTTAGCTTATGATAAGATATATGTTACAAATCATGCTGAAATCCGCCTTATATAATAATAATGTTGTAGCTGCATGAATTGATTTGTTTGGCCACTAGCTGTAAATACACAGTGGCTCATGTTTGATGGGTTTGAAGAAGCTGGGCATCTTGGACAGCATGGAAATGTACCTGCAACTTTCCCAGTTAAATGTTGCATACTCTTCCAAAGCATTGTTGTGTAATTTAAACTGTATCATTTGAACACACAGGATTAACAATTGTAGTTTCTTGCAAAGATCAAAGCCACCCCAACAAGGACCATGCACAATGGGAATACATCCTGTCTCATTTTTATGTAATCGTTGATGCTCTTTAAATGGTGAATGTATATTGGTTTTGCGAGGTTTACCTCCTCTACTTCAATCCATCACCTTATTTTTTCCCCTCATCTCACTTTCACTTTCTATAGAGCTTATATCATCCTTTGCTCTTTTCTCTTACACGCCCTCCTCTTTCATCTTCTTCTTCCTCCTCCCTTCCTCTGTGCTGTTGCATTATTCAGACTAAGTGCTTGTGTTGTCCCTGAGTACCTCTCCGCTCATCGCGCTCCATGGAGCATGGCTCCCTGAAAAGAGTCCACACGTACAGATTCCTTCAAATCAGGCGTTTTTTGCAGATACATTGGCGAGTGTCAATATGTAAATCGTCATGTGACACATGCTCCTTCCTTCTTTTTCTTTTTTTTTCTTCCTCAAAAACCAGCAAGGGTTCCTCAGAGATCACTTAAGCTGCAGAGCAGACTACAACAGAACAAAGTGTCTTTTATTCATAACTACTAGTAGCACAAAGCTGAAAACCTTCAACTGCAGGCACCACGGACTTACAACACAGGACGGGTTTTGCACCAATAAAAAATAAAGGAAATAGAGGAAACAACCACGCATGGTTAATTGTTTAATTATTGGACTGAACAGAAATACAAATAGATACAGTACAAAAAGAGTCGCTGTAGAGTCACTTTACTGGATGGCCGTGCATCTTTGGTGATGTGTAAAAGGGCAGAAAGTGAGAGAGGCCAGAGGAGTTGTAATAACTTTCAAAGAAATATTGCAAAATTATGCCATTTAGTATGTTGCATTGTTCCTTTTACTACATATTATGATTCAGTCGTAAGTAGGGAATCAAGATTTTTCTGGGAGAAACTGAATACCCTTTGTTCAATGTTAAGATGCTTTAGGTGGCTTATAGTGTTTTATAGCTCATTTAATGTGTTTTCTCCCCCTTCGCTCAACTATCCCTTTATTCTGACAGAAAAGTGCTTTTGCTTCCCTCTTTACAACATATTGGAGAAAACCCACTGCAGGGAACCCAAGAAAAGATATGAACTATGCATGTTCTTGGGGAAAGCAAATCTGGTTTAGGGGTCGTGGTTGATGACGTGACTGGGGCATAAGGGTTGAAAATCTTCAAACAAGACTGTGTCACTGAATCAGTGATGATTTATGAACAAAAGATAAGACAACTGAATTTGGACACTGTGCTATCCTTCCAATGTACGGTGGATTTAATCATGTATTAGGGTTTTAGCAACAGTAAATGTTTTATTGTAGAGCTGTAAATAAGCCATTTCACCATTGCTTTGGCGATAAAATTATAATTCTTTTTTAATTCTCTGCGGTCCGGTAGTTTGGGGACTATTAAAATAGACAGCGTAGGCCTGGTGAATGGTCAATGCATGCAAGTTAACTGTAACTAATAATGCTCAGCATAACTAATGCATATCTAATATTTAATAGCCCGTGGAGACGTTGATATATTTATATTTCCTTCCCATAATCACAAATGGAAACATAAAAGATTCTCCTTAGATAACACCGACGCCTCAGTGAGTGTCTCTAGGTGTCTGAAGGACAAACCTATGCTCTCTTTAGCATCTGTAGCACCTGTATGGGACGCCAAATAACCTTAATGTAGTACCATCCGCATAATTAGGTAGGAGGAAAGGGAAGGGAATAAGGAAGATTGGACTTTTCTTACGTAACTAACGTAAGCCGGAACTGCCGTGCATGGAACGAAAACAAAAAAGTGATGCTAAACGGGCACCTACAATGTTTAGATTGGAATTTTGATTAAGAACATACCTTCTGTTGGAGATTTGTCAGTATGAATTAAAATTACAATATTTTAAATCTAAATCTCAAAAGTTTTAAATATTGCTTTTTGGAAATTATAAATGAATGTTGGAATGGCTGGAATGGGTAAAGCAATATTTGTGACAACATACAATATGCCATTTCAGTTTGTGATTTTATAATCTAAATGTTTTTAATTACAGTTGACAAACAACATGACTTAAATTTGTTTTCAGTTTGGGAGCATGTCGCTACCGAGGAGGCGGTGCAGCAACGGACTTTGGATCACAGAAAAAATATATTCAATGCAACAAAAAAAACTTTAACAAGTAATCAACAAGTCAATGGCGACACACACAGACACCTTTCT